GCCGAAAGTGCCGCCCACACGTGTTAAAGATAGGAGCGTATTGAGCACACATGACTTGCATAGATGGTTCACACATCACTACCACATAGGAGCGTATTGAGCACACATGACTTGCTTATATGGACTACACATCACTACCACATAGGAGCGTATTGAGCACACATGGCTTGCATATATGGACCACACATCACTACCACATAGGAGCGTATTGAGCACACATGACTTGCATATATGAACTACACATCACTACCACATAGGAGCGTATTGAGCACACATGACTTGCATATATGAACTACACATCACTACCACATAGGAGCGTATTGAGCACACATGACTTGCATATATGGACCACACATCACTACCACATAGGAGCGTATTGAGCACACATGACTTACATATATGGACCACACATCACTACCACATAGGAGCGTATTGAGCACACATGACTTGCATATATGGACCACACATCACTACCACATAGGAGCGTATTGAGCACACATGACTTACATATATGGACCACACATCACTACCACATAGGAGCGTATTGAGCACACATGACTTACATATATGGACCACACATCACTATCACATAGGAGCGTATTGAGTACACATGACTTGCATATATGGACCACACATCACTACCACATAGGAGCGTATTGAGTACACATGACTTACATATATGGACCACACATCACTACCACATAGGAGCGTATTGAGTACACATGACTTGCATTTGTGGACCACACATCACTACCACATAGGAGCGTATTGAGTACACATGACTTGCATACATGGACCACACATCACTACCACATAGGAGCGTATTGAGCACACATGACTTACATATATGGACCACACATCACTACCACATAGGAGCGTATTGAGTACACATGACTTGAATATATGGAACACACATCACTACCACATAGGAGCGTATTGAGTACACATGACTTGCATTTGTGGACCACACATCACTACCACATAGGAGCGTATTGAGTACACATGACTTGCAAATATGGACCACACATCACTACCACATAGGAGCGTATTGAGCACACATGACTTGCATATATGGACCACACATCACTACCACATAGGAGCGTATTGAGTACACATGACTTGCATATATGGACCACACATCACTACCACATAGGAGCGTATTGAGTACACATGACTTTCATATATGGACCACACATCACTACCACATAGGAGCGTATTGAGCACACATGACTTGCATTTGTGGACCACACATCACTACCACATAGGAGCGTATTGAGCACACATGACTTGCATATGTGGACCACACATCACTACCACATAGGAGCGTATTGAGCACACATGACTTACATATATGGACCACACATCACTACCACATAGGAGCGTACTGAGCACACATGACTTACATATATGGACCACACATCACTACCACATAGGAGCGTACTGAGCACAGATGACTTGCATATATGGACCACACATCACTACCACATAGGAGCGTATTGAGCCCACATGACTTACATATATGGACCACACATCACTACCACATAGGAGCGTACTGAGCACACATGACTTACATATATGGACCACACATCACTACCACATAGGAGCGTACTGAGCACAGATGACTTGCATATATGGACCACACATCACTACCACATAGGAGCGTATTGAGCCCACATGACTTACATATATGGACCACACATCACTGCCACATAGGATTGTATTGAGCACACATGACTTACATATAAGGACCACAGATCATTACCACATAGGAGCGTATTGAGTACACATGACTTGCATATATGGACCACACATCACTACCACATAGGAGCGTATTGAGCACACATGACTTGCATATATGGACCACATATCACTACCACATGGGAGCGTATTGAGCACACATGACTTGCATAATTGGACCACACATCACTACCACATAGGAGCGTATTGAGCACACATGACTTACATATATGGACCACACATCACTACCACATAGGAGCGTACTGAACACACATGACTTACATATATGGACCACACATCACTACCACATAGGAGCGTACTGAGCACAGATGACTTGCATATATGGACCACACATCACTACCACATAGGAGCGTATTGAGCACACATGACTTGTATATATGAACCACACATCACTACCACATAGGAGCGTATTGAGCACACATGACTTGCATATATGGACCACACATCACTACCACATAGGAGCGTATTGAGCACACATGACTTGCATATATGGACCACACATCACTACCACATAGGAGCGTATTGAGCACAGATGACTTGCATATATGGACCACACATCACTACCACATGGGATCGTATTGAGCACACATGACTTGCATATATGGACCACATATCACTACCACATGGGAGCGTATTGAGCACAGATGACTTGCATATATTGACCACACATCACTACCACATGGGAGCGTATTGAGCACAGATGATTTGCATATATGGACCACACATCACTGCCACATGGGAGCGTATTGAGCACAGATGACTTGCATATATGGACCACACATCACTACCACATAGGAGCGTATTGAGCACAGATGACTTGCATATATGGACCACACATCACTACCACATGGGAGCGTATTGAGCACAGATGACTTGCATATATGGACCACACATCACCACCACATAGGAGCGTATTGAGCACAGATGACTTGCATATATGGACCACACATCACTTCCACATGGGAGCGTATTGAGCACACATGGGGATGATTTCCTTTTTTTTTCTCAAAAAGAGATTAGCATTTTATCCCTGAATCTACATTCTACACTGTCCTCAACTGTCACCCTTTTGCATCCAAAAGCTGTATCAGTTATAATAACTGTCTATACCAGTGGTTCTCAACTTTCATAATTCCGCGACCTTTTAATGCAACTCCTCATGTTGTTTTGACTCCAACCATAAAATTATTTTCTTTGCTACTTCATAAGCATGTGTTTGCCGATGATCTTAGGCGACCCATGTAGTATAAGGGTCGTTCGACCCCCAATGGGGTCGCGACCCACAATTTGAGAACCACTGGTCTCTACTAGAGCTCCATCTGGCTAGGCCACTTACATTTCATAATGCTTTCATTGAACTTATCATAGCTATCCCGAACCACTGGTCTCTACTAGAGCTCCATCTGGCTAGGCCACTTACATTTCATAATGCTTTCATTGAACTTATCATAGCTATCCCGCACAACTAAAATGTTATTTCAAATATTTACATAATATAATGCTCCATCTGACTATGCACATGTTTACAAGCGCGCATCAACGTGGCCCAAAATAATCCACACGACCCCAAATAATCCACATGGCCCAAAATATGGCTTGACCTTTTTACTTTTACAGATCATTCATTATGATTATGATACAATTTCTGTGAGCTCTATTCACTTGTCAAGTATTTTTGAATACATCTTTTTTTTTGTTTGTTTTTTTTTAAAGTTCAAGACGTTGCTAAGCGAAGCTTGGCTGCTAAAGAAGACAACAAACAACAACCAATCAAATCGAAAGATGGTTGGAGTGTGCTGTATCAACTCAAATTTCTGATGACCAGGCTGTCGAGTTGGGTGTCTCGCATTATGTAGTGCGGTACCGGGTTAGCAAGAAGACATGACGAAAGCCGTAGGATTTTCACGGTAATATGCCTTAACCTCCAGCAAGTCAGATCCTTTGGTGGAAATGGGGGTCGCCCAAAAGTGACCCAGGTGCGAATAGAACGTTTCCCAACTAACCCCTACTTCAACAGTCTTCTTAAACATCAGGGACCCGGACATTGCTCATTAGCCCCCCCCCCCCCCCCCCCCCCCCGGGTCTGACTTCATTTTTTGGGGAGAGCCAGGGTGTAACTTGGTGTAAGGCGAGTATGTAAATACTAAGTCGTACCGGTATGTCAAAGCCCAACAGATGGATCACGTTGCCAAAGTTTAGAGCCTGGATGTGCTCAGAACTCCCCACCCTCTTCCCGAAAATGTATGTCAGTACCGTACTACTACTACTACTACCGTAAATGACATGTGTTTCAATGTTGTGAAAGGGTTGTTCCACGTGTGACTCCTAGGTGGAGGCCACGGTGGTTAACCACAACGTTGCATCTTCATTGCGATCAGCCCAGCTGGGCGGCAATCCAAATCTGAGCTGGAGTGGAGCAACAACAGGGTTGAAATTAAACACTGGAGATCCCTGATCATATGTTGTACCCTGATCATATGTTGTAGGATGCAAGCTATTTAAAAAAAAATATAATTTTTTTTTATCCAATTTCAATACTGTCAGTTATGTGAACTAATGCATTGACTCAACTTTCAAGAAAGGAAATGCTCATAGTGTAGTGTTAATTAGTTCAGAAAAACACATAGTTTCCATGAATGTTTCTTTCTTTTTTGTTTTGTTTGCTTTAACTTTTTTGTGTGTGTTCCGTTACATTGTTTTACAAATGCTTCTGTTAGCTAAGTTCTTAAAAGTCAAAATGATGAATAAATATTTGAAAAAAAAATCATTTGCCATGATTAAAGTAATTAACTGATCATTTGTTGTTGTTGTCTAATGGACAAAATAAAAAAAAAATATCAGAGAGGAAGCTCCATTGAGTTTGTTAGTTTTTGAAAGCATTGCATGGTAAGCACGGGCGACAGCAACTGAATTGAAACTTATTTTCAATGCCTTAAATATTGTAAACATTTGAACAACTGTCAAAAGAGAATATTATTTCTTACAATTACACGTACCGGTACAGATAAAGTGTTAGTAATTCAAAATTTATTAACATTGTTTCATCCAGATGACATCTCTTAAGTTCAGGACATGGACAGCATCATTAAGTAATACAGACAACTGGACAGCATCGCCTTAAGTAATACTGACAGGATCAGTATCAGTCAGTAAAACTGACAGGATCAGTAAGTAATACTGACAACTGAAAAGATTATAATGTAGTACTAGCAACTGGACGGGGTCAGTAAGTACCATTAATACCGACAACTGGACGGTAACAGTAAGATTCCATTAGTACTGACACCTTGACAGGATCATCAAGTAAGACTGACAACATCAATGAGGAGTGAACCAAGCCTGGAGAAAGAGAGGGGCAAATACTCAAATACAATTACACATACGTCTAAAGGTGCCACGCATCAAAGTTGTACCAAACATCCAACAAAACAATTTAAAAAAAGAGAAAAAAAAAATTATTTTAATAAACAACTGTACAATAAAAATCATAAAACATTGTGTTTACATAATCAATAACAACTTAGCTAGAAGAGAGCATATGTAAAAAAAATTTATGTTAACTTGGCGTCTCTCATAGTCATTCAATCAATCATTCACAGACTCTTATGAGATGGTAAGCTGGTACCAAGCAATAGGCAAATGATGGAAATCTCTCTCACAATATTACAACAACAATGAGCTTAATTATTACCCCATCAATTTATATCCCTGAAACGTGGCAGCCCGGTTCTAACTGGTTCATGGCATAATAGGTAAAGATGAAATTAAAAATGGCTCTTCTTTGAAAAAGTTGAATGATTAGAATTTTATAGAATGCAACACTAGAGAAGGCCCATTCGGTCTGAGTACTGATTATTTATGCCATTTTATGCTTCATAAAAAAAAATCAGATGCATATGATATGAAAACCTATGTATTTTTTCCGAAATAAGTGAATCCATTGATGTGCATGTCATGGAATCCCCCTGCCATTTTCAAACTAATACTTAAGAAAAGTAGCATATGTTATTAAATAATCAAGTTATTTGAAACACTGAAGCACCCAAACGTAATCGATGACAATGTTGGTGAAATATTAAAAAAAAAAGAAGAACACTATATGTTATATCTTAGACATAAAGCAACCAAATTTGAGGAGACATTTGATGTACCAGGACCAGAATGGAAATTTACTTCACTTTACAGCAAAAAGATCATTTTTATCACATCATAAAAAGCTACATTATAAAAAAAATTTTATAATGTGGCTTGATATGTGATAAAAAATTATTTTCATCCACTTCTAACTTTAAAACAATATTATACAAAACATTAAAATCTCCTTTCAACGTTAGCAGTGAGAATATCAAACATAATGAAAACATTTCTAAATACATGTATTATAAGATTCATTAATTACTTGCTCTGAATTTACATGATGGGCAACGAAATGCACATTTTTGATAATCATTATATCGATTCTTAACTTAGTTTAATGATGCTCCTTGGTTCAGCACTGAACCTAAACATTCTTCAGCACACTCATGTCTCTCCGTGCTCCAGGAAAAGTTAAATAATCTCCAAAACATTCCAGCCTTTCTGGAGTTGTAACGTCTGCACCAAACCTGACATGACCCAGACACCCTCCATTCATTTCTCACTGCCACCAGGTCGCAAGCTCTACTCCTGTTGGACAAAGGGATTTGCTATGGCTTCCATTCCATCAGCTGGACAAATTAAGACGACAGATGTTCCACGACAAACAACTAGGCCTAACGCTCTTGTGTCTTCAGTTAGTTTAAATGGGTCATCAGGATCTGAAATTATTGACAGAAAAAAAAAAAAATGAAGTAAAAACTTAACTTGGAAGAAATAGAACACGTTTTAGCCTGTCAAAACACCTTTAATTTTTCCTACCCCTTACAAAGAAATGGGCTCTTAAACATTTCTCTCATTATTATTTGACATTAGCTACTAAATCAAATGCCCTCCAAGACTGCTCAAATCCTCAAGGTGCAAAAATCTAGATTTTCTCAATCTCTGGTGCCCCTCCCCCCCCCATATTACATTAGACTTTTTCTTAATAATCTATCTCTGGAAACATTTGTATTAAGGTTTGTTATATTTAATTAAGATCTTAAAAAAAAAAAAGCTATCTATGTTGTTCAAAGAAAAATCTGAGTTACTTCCCATTTATTAAAAAATAAAGCATGGGCTTAAAATTAAAAATAGTTAAGGTTATTCTTTTGTTCAAACAGACATAAAGACAAACAAGGAAAAAAACGACAAAATTTGCTCTATTTTTTAGTTTTAGTAACAAAAAAATAAATGATGTTACTGGAAGAAATTTTAATAAATCATTTAAGTTCATTTTATTTGTAAGTCTCAAAGTGGGACCTGCTTGAACTTGTAAGAATAAAAGATAAGAATTAAAATACACCCACCTCTAAGGTATTCTGTGGTGCCATCTAAGACAAGGTTTAAAAGTTGGTCAAATCCTTTCAAGATTCCACTTGCTGTTGAATTTAGAAAAAAAATAATAATAATATTATCAAAATAAATTGGCCCATGGTTTAACCTTAAATGTCTTTGGACATGCTTACTGATTTTGGATTAGTTGCTTGTTTTAAATTAACATGAATCAATTACAAAAGACAATAAACACAATTAAAAAAATAGTGAAATAAAAATTTTAAAAAATTAAAGATTTATGAAATTAATTCACAATCTCAGAAATCACATGAATAAATTAAAAAAAGATGGAAATCTCACAAAAAACAAATTAAAATAAGAATTACCTTCTCTTCCACCACTGAACTTGACTCGTATTGGTTTGTCTAGATATTTCTTTAGGTCTAAAATGCTTTCTTTCTTTTTCTTCTCCCTGTCTTTATCAGCTTCATTTCTTTTATCTCCCCCGGCTTGGGGCATCTGCAACAAGTTATTTTTATTTTTACAATGCACGCAAGTTTAAGACTTATAACTTATAGTCTTTAAATGGTATAAGTAATAAGTAAGCCCGAATGTTGGTCAGTGTCAGAAACTTGTGCACGAGAGCATGTTATTTTCTATACTATGAGGTTATATAAAATTAGTGGTGTTCACTGGGTTGTATATTAGATTGTGAGTGTCTCATGAAAATTAAGTACAATAATCTTGAAAAAAAAAGTTGAAGACAAAATAGTGCAGCAGTCACAGGTTTTCATTACTGGTATTAAATACAAAAGTTTATGTTTTAAAAAAAAAATTAATAACTTCACGTCCCTGAACGATGAACAAATGATCTTGGTGGTATCAAAAGCTTACAATTACAAATAGCACTTTTAAATGATGTATATTGTATGTTAAAATCAGTCATTATTTGAAGTTTGGTCAAAGTACTCAAAAGTACCAATTCTGAGTTTTAACAATCAATTGTTATGAAAGATTTGAAAAATACTGTTTATTGTTCATGCAGCCTTTAATCTTCAAAGAACTTAATACCTTATACTTCAGATTTGATGAATGACATCAGGTTGCAAATTTGGTTTCACAGTTTCATGTCATCAATGAAGGGAACATTAAAATATCTCTTTTTCTTTGGTAAGATTTCAATACAAGACAAGTATAAATATCTTCATATTTTACTTATTGAAGTTATTGATGTGTTCTTTCAGCAAACTAATTGCAGTGAACTTAACCATGTTTCAATTTTCATGGAGACTGAGCCTGGACAACATTTTATTTTAATTGAAAAAGGAGGACATTCCTACTTTTGGATAAGATATGTGGCTAAAATGCAGTTAGCGGCAGGGCCGTTGATATCTTCCATTGTATATAGGTTATGGAGGTTTCCCCAGGTCAACTACCGACCATAGTTCCGTTTTATAAAAGATTTCAAAATTTAATTGATCATCTGAATTTGAATGTTTGTCGTCAAAGAGGGAGGAAGGGTTCCCCTCCACCAGAAATACTGTTGAAATGTCCCGTTAAATTGTAATATTATAGAAATGATTAGCAGACAGGAATTCTGTTTTCAACAACAACAAAAAAAAGCACTTATAACCATGCCCCATGCACACATCTTTTTTCCAGTGTTCATTTTGGATCCTCGATGTGTATCCCTTTTCATTTCTTTTGAATTGAACCTTAAAAGTTGAATGTTAATGAAAATCAAAGGCAAAATTTAATTTAAATTTATTGCATTTTAACCGTTTCAATAGTCAGATTATGTTTTTGGTTAAAATAATGGCTAAATAATGCTCAGTGAAGAATGGGAAAATTATCATTCTCATCTTTTAGGTCCAACTGTTGTTGGTCCAGTGATGGGATTTCCCAAAGTGAGAGGACTCTTGGCAAAACCTATGCGGTTAACTGCACGACATAAGCCATAAATTTACATGATTACATGTCATGGTGCTGTATTCATATTCATGTGGCATGCCAGCCGTGACTAGTCACAATCACTTCAATGAGTAATCATGCTTAAGTTAATGACACTATCACTAACTAACGTAAATAAATCCTAAACTAAATCAGTGACATTTTTGTAGTTAGTTCGTTTCTTATAAAAATAAGTTAATAAGACTAAATTATACTTTATTAATATTCAACAGCATGACTATGAGTAGTGTGAGTACTATACTATGACATGACACTATCATCACTATGACTATGGTCACTATGACTATGGTTGAGTATGGACTTACACGCACTCTCAGAACGACACGAGTACGACGGTCGGCATGTCAGAAGCAGATTTTTAAGTAGTCCCTAAAATATTAATTACAGCTGAATGAAAAAGAAAACACAAAGACCAAAAATAATATTATGTTCACCTGTTGTGCCATTTTATCACGAATATGAGGATGGCACTTTTATATCAGCTTGAAAGTAAAGTATCCTATATTAGAATTTTAGGTTTTGGCGCTGTTGTAACGTTTTGCTAGAAATGGTCAGTCTCTTTACCGAGATCAGTTACTTAAGATTTGTAACCAATGTTGTGCGAAAAAGCACAATTGAGTATTTTTGAAAACTTTGTAAATAAACTTCAAGAACAAAATAAATGTCTAGGACTGTGCCAAGGGAAAAACTACACCAGGGGCAGAGTCTAAAATTAACCCCTTACCCCTGTTTCAGCACTAAATAATATATGATGCAGGCATTATATTATAATGATATATTTGATATGTTTGATAAATTAAAAATTCATTGTAAATTATACATTTTGGCGCACACATGAATTTAGTTTTCATAATTCTACACTTTTAATCGAAAATCAGCTAGAGAAATTTACTAACTCTTAATCTTATGTGGAAACTTTGTTGTTCATTGAACTGGTTGCGTTCATACAATACAAATCTTTTATTTTTAGTTGTTACTGATAATTTTTATTTACACTATTTATCTGTTTAAATCGATATTAAATGATCCTGTGATGCACCCTCCTCGCACTGTCTCATTTTCTGTTCCTGTAGTATAGGCCAAAACGTGCCAAAGTGTCCTCGTTTTATAGCCATTTTAATTGTTTCTATAGTATAGTAGTTACTATCCTAGTGTCTCATTTTTATTTTACTTAGTTTACATGTTTTTAATAATTGTAAAGCGCTTAGAGCTTTAAGGTAAGTGCTATGTAAAAAATGCCTAAATAAATAAATAAATCCTGTCAAATTACACCCTCTGATAACCACTACTATATTTTTTTGCGGTCTGTTTTGTTAAGTCTTGTAACTGCTTTTCGCCCTCATTTCTTTGCACTTAGATTGAATTTTAAAAAGTTTGTAGAATTTAGAGAATATTTTTTAAAGAGTACCCATTTGAATAATATTAATTAATAATTCATGGAAAACTACAATTTAAGCCGCGTCTTTTAATTCAATATTTAACTTTATTTTTGTTGTTTAGACAAAAAATGCAACTCCTCACAAATATAAGATTAAGAAGGTGCCGTTTTACATAGATGATAGGTCCCTTTAGGGGTGAACACCCTCCCTCCTTTTTCCTTACACGCTATCAATTGTAGGTCATCAAGATAATTTACCATTAGCCCCCCCCCCCCCCGCGCCTTTCCCAGGCCTGTAAATGTAATCCACAGTTCAGTTATTTTAAATGATTTTCACGCACTATTTTATGACAAAAATATTTCAAAACAATCCGGCATGCCACTACGAAAATGTCGTTAATCTCCACAACCACATCCTAAAGCTAATAAATAAAGAAATATATGTAGGCCTATGTATGATATTTTTTAATAAATAAATTCAATATAATATATATTTATTATAAAATATTTAAATTGTAAAAAAAATGTCATAAATAAAAAAGTTATTGATATCAAGGCGGCAGTATGCGTAGCAAAACTTCAACCATGTACTTGCGTGGCGGTACACATAGAAAAATAAATAAATTTTGACCTGTGAGACGGTGTTACCGGACCTTGGGAGATTTCCCTAGAACTTGGGATTTCAGACACGACACCCCCCCGCCCCCCCCCACAGTCATTGGGAGGGTTGCCAACCTAATTAAGTAAAATTTAGGAACAAATATTCCAAATCTCCCCATTTTTTACGGACAAGCACC